CTATGCTTTAACTTTTTTTGACGTGTGGTTGTTGGTCAGCAGTGGTACATACTTCTACCAAACAAACCAGTTATATTGTAGGTATCGGCGGAATCGGCCCAACACTGACAACTGGTCCCAATGGTTTCGGGTTCGTCGTTGCACCAATTATTATCGTGGATGCTGCTGAATAATGTGAAGGAATACTACGATGAAAATGAAAATTCACTTAAAATAAAATAAATGAAACAACCTTTTTTAGAGGGTAACTTCGGGTGTGTGTCTGCACATTATTAACTGAGCAACGTATAACTAAAACTATCTTCTCGCATTTGAGCTCCACTTCACAAAGTCACTGGTTTTCAACGACAATGATTTTCATTCTTGGAAGTTATGTCGTGTTGACAGGCACGATACATTTCTTTCAAGAGCAATGTGTACTCTAAGTTGGGTGTCGGTCCAAAATGAAGTTAGAAAGTAGCGTTCATAGTTCGCGTCAACAGTTATTTTCTCTCTTCGTTTGTAGCTATTGCGGATATATGGCCGTTCACACACTAATTGATGGACTACTCCAGCAACTATTTTGCTTTTTTTTTCTCGGTGGTTGTTAATTTTTTACCGAACTTATTCTTTGCCAGCCTGGGAAATGATCAAGACAAACGCGCTCTGTCACGCCGTGGCGCGCCGCGCGTTGTACGGCAATAGGCGCGGCAGTTCAAGTGAGATACCTCGCATCGAAGAGGAAGCGTACATCCGTAACTCGTGATCTCTTCTATTCACGTCTCTCGTAGAGAGAATCTGCTGAAATTGGAACATCGCATCAACGGCTCCGTACTAAGCAAGTTCCGCGTGCGGCCGGCGACATCGCTGGACACGCCCGTCAGCGCGGCGAATTCCGGTTGTCCTGCCACGTGCGATCTCCGGACAACTTGAACCTGATTGTGATTTGGATGCGTAGGTTTTTTGTTTTTCTCTGCGCTTTCTCGACCTTGTGATATTCTATGCTCATTGTGACCTCACACAGTCCAGCTTTCCATAAATGATATGTGGCACACCTACCCTAGAGCCCTTTCCCCTTGAAAAAGCCAAGCCTTCTTTACGTAAGTGGCTGGGTCAACAGTGGATCGATCCTGGCCTAGAGTTTACAGGTCACATGTCATCTAGTTTTCAGGGTCGGTTACGTACATGAAATAAGTAAAGGAATCTAAAGT